GGGAGCTGTGCGAGTTGCTCCTAATTTAAATCGGCACTCTTTTTTAATTCTAATTTTTTTTAGCAACAACCGTGCCTTTTAAAAAGCATTTCAATATATTATGCAATTATTTTTTTCTAAATGACATTGTATTTTTTATTTTATTTAAAATGATAATTTTACTTTTATGAGAAAAGTTATACTTTTGCGAGAGCCGTAAATAGCTCTCATAAACCGTTTCAGGGGAGTGTAGACGAGAGCCGAGGCCTATATATATATATATATATATATATATATATATATATATATATATATATATATATATATATATATATATATATATATATATATATATATATATATATATATATATATACACAAACTACATTTCATTTTTTTTCTTTGTCTTCTTTCCCTTTTTTCTTTGTCTTCTTTCCCCTTTCCCTTTGTCTTCTTTTAAAAGATAATACAGCATCTTTGCGCTTTCCATTACTTAAAATCTTTTGTTCATTGTTATAAAAAATATTTATTACTGTCTGATTAACAATTTATATAAAATATATTCGCTAACTTTTCTGATGTCAAGAACTTCTATTGTAAGTAAACTTTTTTTTACTGCATCAAGCATAGCAAAGCAAATAATAACATAACTTGCAAGCAATTTTGAGGGAGTTATGAGACCTCCTCTGGATAGTAGTTCAATATATTCTGTATTTAAATCAATGAGATCACTTTTTAGCAATAAAGAACATAATTCACATTTAACTTTTTTGAGTAATTTTCTGCATATATATCCAGCAATAAAAATAGTAACTTCTTTACTGTTATCATCTAAATCACATTCCTGAATATCATTAACAAAAAGTTCAGAAATCAAATTTATATTTACAACCGACTTGAAAGTTTTTAAATCCATTTTCCAAAAGTCAAAATTTTCTTTTAATAATGATCTCATTTGCAAAAATTTTTTAGAAGTTATTACTTCACGTAATCCAACAAGAAATCTGCCACCACTCATTTGACGATACTTTGAAAAATGACGCTCCAATGGATCACTTTGGAAACAAGACGTTAGAACATAATTATATCCTTCAAATAGAAGATCTTCAATTAGACTAGAAGTACTTTGCAGTGTTACAATAAGGGCTTTAGAAGTCTGAGCTTTAAGAGAACATCTTTCGGTGGAACTGTATTGCGAATTTTGCCACTGATCAAACCAGTGAGCAAATGCACTTAAAAATTGTGGCTTACCGTCCCCCATAACAGATGAATTTTCAAACTTATGATTAGAGTATTTTATTTTAGAATTAGATATTACCCACCATAAATTAACTAGTTTTAAAAATTCTGATGATGAAAATTCATTAGGAAAATAACTTTGAATTGCTGCAAATGTTATTTCATGGAATATATTTAATGCTAGGTTGACGTCTTGTCTATTGTTACCTGGATATAATGTCTTTTCTCCTAGTTTTGATGCCTTTCTTAAGTTTGCTGATAGAGTTTCATCTTTTTCATGCACTCTATGAAGGAATCCCCAAGATACATCACCTGCAGAGACTTTTATATTAAAAATGTAATCAGTGAACTTAAATGATGGGAAAATAAACTTTTTGGTACTAATCAAATTATCTCTTAAGTTTTTGAGCAAATGTACACTATCATACATCAAATAAATTATATGACCATTAAAAGTGATACAAAAATTTTCTTCTGGCTTCTCTGAACCATAAACGCTGAGTTATTTTGAATAAGCTGACACATTAGTTGGATGGTAATCCGCAATCAATGCACAAATGTTAAAACCAGCAAATCTTAATGTATTTAAACTTTCTTCTATTTCATCTTTAATAAAATCTCCAGTAAGACTAATTTCTGGAATAGCTTTACTAACATATGGTATTGATTTTTTAAGACCAACGATCATGAACACAATTATTCCTTTGTAAAGGTTATCCTCAGTATCTTGACCAATTAATCTACCACTGTGGTATTCACAAGATTGCTGTAAATACATTTCATCAAAAAGGAAAACACAATCATTGCTTATTTTTCCTTCATTTAATAACAGTTTTAACGATTTTATTGAATCGATTCCATCAGAAACTAACTTCTTTAGTAGTGACATTAATGGCAATGGGAGTTGTTTCAAAAGAAGGGAATAAGCCTGAAATAATGAATATCTTTGCATAAGTGCAAAACGTAATACTTGTGGAGGACGACTTTTGGATTTGTTAAAAATTAATTTGATAGTTCATTAACTAAACCATACAAATTTTCTTCAACAAGGTTGTGCATATACAACACCAAATTATTCAAAATCGATAAACTTATAAGCTTACAATTGTTAATTGTTCTAAACCATTTAGGGAGTGGAAGTGGAGAACTTTTGTAATGTAACTTTATGTGCAAATTGTTATCAATGCATATTGATTCAATAAATGGAGTTGTGTCTACAAAAAATAAATGATAATATAAAACAAAACTTTCATATCTTTGAAAACTAAATCCATTTGGAGAGTTAGGTTCATGAAGCATATCAATGTTTTTTATTTTATCCATTTCTTGAAATGTATGAATTTCATCTGGGATGGTAGAATGTTGGTCAGTTGGAGGTTTACGAAAAGTAGGAATTTTAGGTATTATAGAAGGTGGAATAGAAATTTCATCAGAATAAATGGTTGAAACAGGGTTTAGCTCATATTTTAAGGTAACTCCTTTTCCATATTTTAAATACTTTTTTTCAAAATGGTCCAAGCATATAACAGAATGTTTGCTTGGCTTCCAATCTTTTCTGTTAGCAAATTTCATCCATTTTTCTTTTAAAACAGTATCTTTAGGAAAACTAAAAACAGCTTTACTTGCACTAAGAGAACTAGATTCATTTTTTTTAAATTTATAGCCAGTTCGACAATTAAAAACAGCACATATGTTCACCATTATATCCAAAACTAAATTTCCAATTTAATCAATATCTCCCAAAATAAAATTTAAACAATATTAACTGGCAGTATGAAAAATAACTGAAATGCTAAAAACTGGCCTTCTAATTTTCGGCCTATTTATGCAACATACCCGGCATACCCGTGTATAAAGTAGGCCATGTTACATCCTAATATACATCTGTATATAATATCCTAATAAGTAACTTTTGTTACAAATAAGAAGTTCAACACATATTTGCTCAATTTAGTTGAAATTGAGAATTTTAACTTTAACTTAATAAGATACAAAATTGATATCAATGTATATTGTAACACCACCACCAATTCTACCATCCTTACAATTTTTTCTATATAAAAAGTAACCATCTAAATTTATAATGGAGGTGTTTTGAACAGAGTTTTCATTACTTCGATAATACATGGATTTTCATCACTACATAATACCTTGAAATCCTCGGTTTTACTACTTAGAGAAGTTTCATTCATATATAAATACATAATTTGGACAATCGGCTTGTAGTTTCCAAAATTTTTAGAAAAATTTTAGAAATTGTTTATCAATTTATTTTATTTTTTTGCCAAAAAAATAAAATAAATTGATAAACAAACAAATAAAACAAAACCTAAACAAACAACTAAAGCAAAAAAAAAAAAAAAAAAAAAAAAAAAAAAAAAATGCAAAAATTAGTATTTAAAATCTGGCATGTTTGACATTTCCTTAATAAACACTGAACTAGGTTGGTTGTTAATAATTTCCACAATTTCAGTTTGATTGTATGTAATTGAATTGTTTCTAATTGCTTTAATACTTGGTTTAACCAATTTTTGTGAATTTACATATTTATATAATAGTTTCAGATTAAAAAAAAATTTTTTTAATAAATTCTTGTTCAAACAATTTTCTGGGTAATAACACTTCTTTTTTTTTACATATTTGTGCTTGTTTTATTTTACATTTGTTGTGCTTAATTTCAACTTCGTCTTCCCATCTAGATGAACAAATTATTCAAATGAACATTTTTTCTATAAACTAAAATAATGAATAACTGTTAATCCAAGAAGCTGCTTTGCTTTTTTATTTATTTATTTTTTTGTACATACATTGACTGATTTGAATAGGGTTTGAATAAAATGCAAAGACACACCACAAGAAACTTCATGTTCTCCCTGTTTAAGTCAGTTGACGCCAGCACTCATTCATTCCAATAAAAAAATATCAATTAAATACCATTCACATCGTAAAATACATTTTCCATTCATGAAAATAAATTTAAATAATAACTATAATAACAATGACAAAAAAAATAATTATAAGACAAAAACAATATAAAATAATTAAACAAATCTATTGAATTTATTAAATAAATTTTTAAAAAGAAATTTTAAAACCATTAGTTTTTTGTTTTCTTTAGTTTTTAGTAAAATTATAGAATGTAACAACATAAAACTTATATATTAACTAAAAATATAAGAAATAATAATTTAAAAAATGCTAAAATAAAATGTTTGATTTAGAGCTAGTTTTATTGATTAAATAATAAAAATCTCATAATCTCAATAATCTATCAAAAACTCAATCTAGTGGCTTATAATCTATCAAAAACTCAATCTAGTGGCTTATAATCTATCAAAAACTCAATCTAGTGGCTTATTAACTTTAATGCAATAGTATACTTGTGATAGAACACAAAGCTTAAGATCATGAGGTGATGCTCAAATCCACTTTACATGTCTGGATGTCCTAGCTCAACTTGATTCTTCACCCAGTGGCCTTGTTTAACAAGATTCACATTTCAGAGTTTAGAATTAAGAGTTGCAAATAAAAAAAATAAAGTAAACAACCACTTCATGAATGTAGTGGTGGTTACCACTGTAGCCTTCAAAAAGTGAATAAAAAAAAAAAGATAAGAAAAAAAGACTCCACATTAAAAAATATGACAAAAATTTCAATAATAGACAACATATATAAAAATTAATGTAACAATCGTTAGCATAAATTAATTAAATACTTTATTTTTACACCTTAACACAATTAAAATTTATCTTTTCCATATTTTAAATTAAAAAAATTCTCACCCTATATGCGTCATTTAACTTTCTTTCATTAGCTGGTGGTGTTGACCACACTCCCTAACAATAAAGACTTGTTAAATTTTGAAAATTTTTTATTAAATTATTTTAACTGTTATATTTGTGTACAAAAATTAGGAAAAAACTTATTGCTTATATGCAAATATTTTATTAATCAACTTAATGTATATATAAAAATCTAATAAACAAATAACAAAGTTACTTTAGCTTTTGATAAGGTAACATTTTCATGGTTGTTACTTTTTATTATGAAGTACCGTGCACCTTTTAACATGGAATCAATGAATGATTTATGAGCTTGTACATTGTCTTCTTCTGAATCTAAAATAAATCTGTGTATAAATTGTTTAAAAAAGAAAAAAATTCTTATTTTATTTATATATATATATATATATATATATATATATATATATATATATATATATATATATATATATATATATATATATATATATATATATATATATATAGACACACACACACACACACACACACACACACACACATATACAAGGGTTGAGTTAAGCGATTTTCCACATATCGCAATTTGCGATATGTGGAAAAATATCTGGTCTTCAAAATTTTAGTTTATACAAAATTGTGTACTTTGTTTTCAAGGTGCAAATTAACTTAAATTTGTTAATAAAAAAGTTATGAAAAACAAAACAAACTTACAACTACAAAAGTAATAACACTATAGTCACTAACTGCATTATAAATGTAATAAAACTATAATAGCATTATTACTCTTACAAAACACTTATAGTTTTTATAATTCATTTTTTGTTCAAACAACATAAGTAACCCCAAATTTTAATTGAAGTAGAAAAGCATCTAGAAAAAAATGATTGGAACTTTAACTAATACGCACTTGAATAAAAAATGTAAAATACAAAATTATAAACTCATTTCGAAAAATGTTACTAGTGGTCCATATAAGCGCGCATAATTTTTACACAATATTTTAGAAATGCTAAACATTTCTTATGAAGCACGTATTTGTATAAGTTGCTGAAGTTTTTAGTATTGTTTGACTATCCACTATATTTTTTTAAAATGCTTTTCTACTTAACTAAAATTTGGGATTACTTATGTTGTTTGAACAAAGAATGAATTATAAAAACTAAGTGTTTTGTAAAAATAATAACACAATTATAGTGTTATTATTTTTATAATGCAGTTAGTGACTAGAGTGTTGTTACTTTTTTGTAGTTGTAAGTTTGTTGCTTTTGTTTTTATAACTTATTTGCTAACAAATTTAAGTTATTTTGCCCCTGAAAACAAAGTACACAGTTATAAACTAAAATTTTGAAGATCAGATATTTTTTTAGATAATGCAAATCGGGATCACTTAATTCAACCCATGTATATATACGCTATAAACCATAATAAACCTTTGATCCTTTTCCTACTTTTTTTATCACTAGATATTTTACCAATAGAATCTAGATTAAAAAAAAAGAAACTTTAAATATCTAATTAATATTTAAAACATTTTAAAAAATAAACTTGTACCACATTTTTAAATACTGTTTAAAGAAAATTAAAAAAAAAAGAAAATTAAAAACAACTTTATTAATTCTAAACATTAAATTTATTATAAAATTAATAGATCTCAACATTTTCTTAACATTTTTAACTTTGGCCTATCAACAATATAATTGTTACTAAACCAAGCTTAATAACTCTTTGTTATAGATGAAATGATTTGAAATTGGATTGAGCATGAAGTTTTTTTAAACAATTGTCAAAAAGATTATAAATGAACTATCAAGACATTATAGATAATTATAAATGGCAGCATACAAAAAATATTAAAAATAGCAAATTAAGATGGCAACAGAATATAAGTTTTAACTTGTATTTTTTTAACCTTAAAAGTAAACATAAAAAGTTAAAAGTAAATATAAATCTATCATTGATTTATTTTTAGAAGGATGTAGCCAATGCTGTAAAGTACTATCATACAAAAAAACTTAAAAAAACATGACTATTAGTATATTTCTGGTAGGGTTAAATTGACATTTTTGTTGACCTTACCATAACCAAAAATTTTTTTTTTTTTTAAAACTGATTTCAAAAAATTTTGTATTATAGGGCTTCGTGGGAAGCAACCAAGCTATTACAGCTCTCACAAAAGTATAATTTTGTCATAAATTTATATTCATGACATATTGTCATAAATAAAAATTATATATATATATATATATATATATATATATATATATATATATATATATATATATATATATATATATATATATATATAATAATATTATTATATACTAGCTGATCTGACAAGTATCAATGAGCTATCATATCATTGATAGCTCAGTGGTTGTTTTGGAGGATTAAAGGCAAATATAGCAAGATTAAAATTTTTCAATCTTGCCGTATTTATAGCAATATTTTATAAAAATTTTATAATAGTACATATCTATAATAAATACAGCAATTTTTATAGCAAAAAAATTTAATATATCAAAAAAGATTTCTTATAGTTAAATAAAATTTAAAAGTTTTCTCATTTTTATAAATTTATTATACCCAATTTTTCTTTAGTATATGTTGAGTTTCTAGGCATATACTGCCTAGAAACTCAACATATACTAAAGACATTTACATTTACAGACGTTTGTATGCAATGCTATACAAATAGCAGAACTAAGAAGATCATAGACCATTAAAAACTATAGACTATAAAATGCTAAGGGATTGTCCATAAATTACGTAATGCTAAATTTTTTTTTTAAAAAAGGAGATATTCAGTTCTTTTAGGTAGCGATTTTAATTAAACTTTATGAGCTATTTTGATTTTTTATTTAACATATGACTCTGCGAGAGAAAGTTTTGATCTTTTTTGTTTTGTTCATTAGTGAAATTTAGCATTGCATAATTTATGGATTATCCCTTATTTAAAATGATGGCTATCTAAATTCGTTGTTAAGCACTCGGTTTAGAATGTTTAACAGGGGTGTGGTAAAGTAGCTGTAAAACTCTAAATTTCCCTATTATATTAATTATTATATTAAGTTTTAACTTGTAATTATTTTTAAAAGTAATTAATTCAATAAAATGGTTTAATTTAAATATAAAATTAGAATTTTCAATTATGTTCTTGAAACATACTTTTTAAACCCCTTACTGTTTTAAAAAAAGTTATAGTCGCTGTGTGGCAAGTTTAATTCATCAGCTTGCTTATTTTTAATTTTTGTTGTTTAAAATGCAAATCAAAAAAAAACTTAATAGTTTTATAGATTTTATATTCTATTTTTAAAATGTTGTCATTTTCCTTACACAAAAACAACTTAGTTGTAAATAAAATTGAAATGTAAAACTAAAATAAAATAAATATCTCAATTACACATACGCAACTACTAAAACTATTAAAACTATTAAGCTTGGCAATAATATATAGAGATTCGTGACAAAATTATACTTTTGAGAGAGAAGAAATTGTTTCTGTAAACCAATTTATGGGTACATAAGCAAGAGAAATAGCAAAAGCATTTCTGGCTGAGGCCTTGTGATAAAAAAAAATTATTCAAAAATAAGTTATTTTAAATTCTTTGTACTGTTTACTGTTTGGCATTTTAAACTCTCAAGGGGTAAATACACTTTTGTTTATAATTGAAGGTTGATCTTTTTTAGTGTATAATAAAGAGCAACTATTCCAACTATTTATAATAAAACTTTAGGATAGTTAATTAATTTATGTTAATTTATGAAAACTATGTCAAAAACTTATTAAAAAAAATGTTGAAAAAAAAAAAAATTACAATAATGAGTAGGGTGTCCCAAAAACATACTTTTTTTTTAATTTCAATGTGGTCTCCATTGATCCCTATTCTATAGGTCCTAAATAATTACCAAAATCTTTTTTTTATTTTTTAATGACTAGAAATTTTAATGATGTAATAATTGGTACACAAATAATTCCCATAGGACATTATTAAAGAATAGGATCATTCCCTATGAACATTGTTAGCGATTGATATAATTCCCTCTGGACAATATTATTAGTTGGTATAATTCCTCATGGATTGGTTCACAAATAACTCCATTTAGAAATTTTTTTGAAAGAAAAAATTTCGAAATGGAATTATTTGTGCACGAAGGAATTCTAATTTGTGAACAAAGAAATTCTTGTGTAAACTGTTATAAAAGCCTTAAAGATAAACTTAGATAAAATATGATATGAGAGGGAATAACAACTTCATAGATTTTTAATGCAAGTGTAAAATTTGGTATAAACTTAGTTAAAAAACTAATTATTTCTAAATTCATATAAAAATGGGTAGAACAGCTAAAAAAAAGATGATAGGACAGAATAAGAAAAAACGGAAAAATACAGAAAGGTTGAGGTATATTTACCTATTGAAGTACCCACTGAGGGATTTACCTCAGAGACAGCTTCCATCTAATGGTGATATTCAAAGATAATATCAATTTATCCTTCGCGAGTCACAAGTAAAATACAAACCCACTTCTACTAATGTTGGTTGCAAATTGAAATCGAAATCCAAGGATCTTGTTTGTGAAAATGGTGTTTGTGCAGATCCTGATAACTCTTGCTTGGTAACTAGGTTTTTGGTAACTAGGATTAAAAAAATTTGGGATAATCTGGGTTTGGCAAGAAATTTATGATTTCTGGGTACAATATAAAGACCAAAATCATTAAACTTAATCTAAAATACAAGAAATTGATTAAATTGTCTTATCTAAACTGGAACAACAGCCTTGATAAGCAATCAAAGTTAGAGAAAGATTTTCTCACAGAATCCTATCAGCTTTTTGACATCTCCACTAAGAATTTTAAAAAAGATATTCTTGCTGATAGATTGAGAACAAATGATGCCAAACTGGAAGATATAAAGTAAGTTCATTAAATAACACTTTTTTAGTAGTGAGATTTTTTTTCCGATTTAAAGTAACTTAAGTAATACCATATTATTTCCTTTAAAATATTTACGATTAACTCCTTCCATGGTTTGGCCATCTTCCAGGAAAAACTAGAACAATTAATAATTTATTTACAAATGTCTTAATAGAATTAACTATTTCTTAGTTTTTATGAAGACCAAAAGTTGGATAGGAAAGGATATATGGGAACAAACGTTGACGAAGACTACAGTAGGAGAGTACTGGATGCAAACAGGAAAAAGAACAAGCTAAATATGTTGAGAGAGAAAGAATTAGAGAGACAGAAAAACGTAAAAGATATCAACAATGTTTTGCTGTCACATGACTCCATGACAGAAGAGATTCAATTCAGCAGTGAAGAAGAAAAGCCAAACGAGGACTCTGAAATCAGCGAGGAAGAAGATTTCCAGGGTAATGGTCAGAAACCCAGGTATAGTATTACTTTAATAACATAGTTGTAATTTTCACAAGCTAAAACTGTTTTATTGAAAAGTATATAATTATAAATAGGTAGAAAAGTATTACAAAATGATATCTAGGTACAATTCTGGAGAGAGGATAAATCTAGCAGTGACTGTTAAAAAGCTCATTGAATGTACTGCTATTAGGGCAACAAGTTTCAATGTTGGTGTACGACCTCATTTGGCAACTTTAAGTGAAGTATTTACAGCTGCAGTTATAGAAATTAATCATATATCACTTTCACGAAGGACACATAGAAAAAATTTGTAGAACTTGAAGGAGACTTGGAGTGGATTTCAATAACAAATCATCTTAAAGGCCGACAGCTTATTCTTCATTTTGATAACAAATTGTTGGAACAAATTACCACTGGGCTAAACATTATTCAAAAAACCGAGCAACTTGCAGTCTCAGTGAGTTCCCTGGATGACGATACCATGGAAGACTATCTTTTAGGTGTTGTTCAATGTCCCTCTTCAAAGGGAGTTGACCGAGCAGAACAAGTGCACAATCTTTTAGAATATTACGGATGTAAAGAGCAAATCATTGGTATATGCTATGATACAACTGCAAGCAATACAGGCAGAGTCAATAAAGCAGTCCAAATTCTTGCAGATATTTTGAAAACACCAATTTTGTGGATAATGTGTAGGAGACACATATGAAGTACATGTATCTCACTATATGGCTGCTCTTACTGGTGAGAAAACTAAAGGTCCAAGAAGAGCTCTTTATGTCAAGCTAAAGAACAAGCGGCCTGAAATTTGTGAGAAAGTTAATGAAGTGAAAAATGTATGTAAATTGGACTGGCAAAGAGATGATCTGAAGATTGGCTCTGTTCTTCGCACTGTTGCAGAGGAAGCTAAGAAATTTTTGACTAATGCAACTACTGATATGGTGTTTTCAAGGAATGATTATGGTATAGTTTGTAAGCTTGCCTCCTTCTACCTTGGAGCGGAAGTACAAGATTTTAAGTTTCATCAACCTGGCGCCTGCCATGAGGCAAGGTTTTTAGCAGATGCGATCTACATCCTGACTCTTTATATGACCAAAGATATCAGTAATATCTTGACAGAAAAAGAAGTGCTGCAGTTGAAGGATGCAAGTTTGTTCATTGCATTTTTGCTATGTTCCATGGTTTTTGAAAAGTTTTTTTAAGATTTCTGGCTCCCTACAATGATTTAAAAGCTATCCAGACAGCCTATGCATTGAGAAAAGTCAATAAGAATATTGGAAATGTTTTACTTCTCAGCATGGGACGCCATACATGGTACTTAACTCTGCAACTCTGTGTTTTGCTCTTTGGGGATAAAGAAGTTCCTTCTGAAACAAAGCTAAGAATGCTGTTAGCTCTGATTGAGTTAGAAGAGCCAAATGAATTTCAGCGTTGTAAACCATCAAATGTACAAATTGGAGAGACCACAGAGCTACGAGATTTGATTTCCGAGCAAAGCTACCTTCTCTTCAAACATTTTAAAATATGAAGAGCAAGTATAAAAGAATGGCTCGATAATAATCTTAATACTATAGATGTTTTTAACCATCTTCAGTTGATAGATTTTATTGCATGGATCAAAAACATATCTGATATAAAAGATGGTGAAGAAAGAAACATTAAGCTCATTAAAGATTTTATTTCAGTTACTAGAGATGAAGATCACCTTCAATATGTACTTTTTGTAGTTAAAAAGTCTAGAAAAAACTTGACTAAGAGTATGACTAAAAAGGAGCTTGGGAACTGTTTAAAAAGTTGTATTTTTTGAGAAATATTTCACCACAATAAAATCTTAAATTTGCTAATAAATATCAGTTTTCATGTATTTTTTTTTTTTTCTTTTTTTTTTTTGTTGTATTTTCATGTTTATAAATATAATCTATCAAGTTAAATAGTAGAAAACAATTGGAAATGATTTATACACATTTAATTGTTTTGTTTTAATTTTTTAAAATGTAAAAAAATTGATACTATTAATATTAAGCCAGTTTAACATTAAAACAGTAAAACTCAGATTTTACATCTAGCACTTCCTGTCAAAATAAAACCGTCAAATTTTTTTAAATACTTATTTAGGTCACAGAATGGGAATCAGTAGAGAGCTTTTTTTTTTTGGGAAACCCTAATGAGGTACTTCACATTAAATCCAAAGATTTAATGTAAAGCAAAAGTTAATTCATGTTTTACATTTTAAACATCTTTATTTAATACATGGTGTATTGAATAAATAAAAAATATAATGTATTAGATATAAATAAAATACACTATTATATTATGTATTGTTCATACATACCCCAATTTTCAGTAGACAGATGATTTTTTTAGTATATACTTTTTTTTATAAGAAAACTAAATTAAGTTTAGACTTCTCATATAACTTTATTTTATTATAAATAAAGAAAAAGTCAAAATACAAATTTAGTAACTAATAAAATATAATTAAAATATTATACAAAGAATTTAGTTATTAGAGTATAATTCATTTATTTTATCTATAGGATAAATCTAAAGAATTATGCATGTGTGTGTTTGTGTAATTATATTACATTATATATTATATATACATTATAAATATTTATAGCTTTAAAAATATTAATTCGTAAGATTTATTAGAACTTATTAGGATACCTAGAGATGAATTTGATCCAGTAAATGAAGACATTGAGATAGAGCCAGAAAAGGAGCAACTGAAGCTATCACTAAAAGAATTAGATCGTGAATTGGAAAAGGACTGTGAAAATGAGCTTGCATGGGAGAAGTTACTTTCGTGATCAGAGTGTTTTCCCCCATCAATTTCATCAACAACTTTCATATGTTGAACATAATCACTTAACACTTTCTCTTTAACTAAAAAGAAATTTATAAAAAATTTTGTATACAAGCTCTAAAAAAACTTAACTTTTTATTTTTAAAACAAATTTACCTTTAACATATTCTTCTTTCTTCTAAAAAGAAAAAAAAAAAAATCAATAATATTTGTAATTTCTCTTATAGAAGATATAACCATCGTTTTATTATTTAAACAATAAATTTAAACTTTAAAAACTATTAAACTTTGAAAGTTAAAAAAAATGTGTATACATGTATGTATATTAAAATACATACACCAGGCCTTATTAAAAAGAGTTACGCAGTACTCATATTACATACAAAATGGTGATATTACTTAAGCATTAAGACATTATGTCAAAACTTATTTATTGGAATATTTCAAATGTTTTTTTATATGTTTATGCAGCATTTATTTAGAAAAAAAGAAGTCATAGTAATTGCAAAAAACATTTTTATGCAATTCTAATTAATTAGTAGCTAGCAATAAAATTAATAACTTTCATCACTAACCATCAGTAAATTTGATGTATGAAGGTAAATGAAGTTTCTAAGATGCATTGAAGTTCTAGAAACAAGAAAACTTGTACGCATAATTTATTTTAATGTTCAAACCTTTCATGGATTTTTATTGAACATGCCTTATGACTCAACCAAACAATCTGACCAAAAATTTGATTTTATTTGTAATTTTACCTTTAACTGTTGCAATTATTACTGTTAACTGTTTAAACTAACTTATATGGCTATTTATAAATTTACTTATGAACAAACAAATATAACTGTTTAATGATTAATATACATTAAATCAACAAAAAAGTTGTAAATGAATTACGAGAATACTAAATGAGTATACCATTTTCAAAATCAGCCTAGATATGTCATTTCATTGACTAACATGTAATTCTAACTTTTTGTAATCAAAATTTATAAACAAAAATTAGTTTTTGTTTGTGGTTTTATTACAAACCAACATCACAAATTAATGCTATCAGGTTTGTTATTGCTGTGTAAGCAATAACAATACTGAAAAAAAACCTCCAAAATTACAGTATAAAATATTAAAATTGTCAAAACCTCATTTTTTATTTTTGAATCCTTGATTCTTCTCTTTGAATCTTTACCTTCACTATGAACATGCTTTTTTTCGCTTGATTTTGATGACTTATCTTTTGATTTTGGCTTGTCCATATCATTCAACAAAGGTTTTGACACCTTTTTTTCCAACTCTTTAACTTTTTTTTCAAGCATCTCTTTTTGAATAATAATATCACTTTCACCAGAAATTTTACTCTCAAGCTTTTTATCTTTTTTTGAACTATCTTTTTCTTTTTTTGTGGATGACTTTGATTTTTTAATAGCATCTGGTTTATTTATCTTAACTTCAATAGCTGAAGACAATGTTTGTGATTCTTTTGAAGGTTTGTATGTAGACTTTAACTTTGACTCAGATTTTGAATCTGATTTTGTTGGCTCTTTATGAGAATGACGATTACTACTTTTTGAAGGTTTTGTTACAGATTTTAATTCGGATTTAGATTGCTTCATAAACTTGTTTGATTTCAAGGAATTATCAGGATTAGGTAGTACCAATGGAGTTTCAGATGTTGTAGTTTTAATAATTTTGCTTTTCGGCGCAGACTTTTCACTTTTTAAAGCTGATTTTTCAGCTACATGATTTGTATCAATGTTTAATATTTCTACTTTTTCTCTTGGTTCTTCAATTTTGGCAGTTTTTGAAGGTGTTTTACTTTTTCGTGTTGATAACTTGCGCTTTGGAGGATTTTTAGTTGATTTGGATGATTTTTTATTTTTTAATGGATTTTCAACTAAAAAAAATTATTGATTCAATTTCTTCTATTTCATTAATATAAAAAAACTATCCAAAAAAATTAAAATTAAAAATTAAAAAAAGCATTTTATTGGAGCCTTGGAATTTTATTTTAACTTATTTAGACCAGATTTTGTGCATAGAATTAACATATAATACCTTCATTTGTTGCACTGTCTTCAAGTTCTTTTTGAAAAGCATCTTGACCAATATCTGGTTTTAAAATATCATCTAGAACATTTACAACTTTGTCGCTAATTCCTACAAAAAAAAGCAGTTTGATTACTATAAATTATTTTATAATTGATTAATGAATATTATAAATATTATTGGTTGATTAACAAATATTAAAGATACTGTTAGTTGATCAATTTGAGATCCAAGTTGAGGTAGTATAGATATATAAAAACTCGTTTCTCCACACAGCGGCCTTGTTCATCAAGGTTCGTGTTTCAGAGTTATAGAGTTGAGAGAGGGTTATAACCACAATTAAGTAGCCTCCTTGTCTGTAGTGGCCTTCTCCGCCTTGGGGAGGTGAAATAACAAAAACAAAAAAAAAAAAACAAAAAGAAAAAACAAAAAAACTGGGAATAAGTTGCACATAATTACAGCTCTCCAGTATTCTTATTATAACCAAACCCAAAACTAAAATCAATGATTGCAATTGATTTAAAATCAAATAATTCTGTAATATCTGTAATTTGTAATAACTTTTTTAAAAATTGCAAAATGCTAACAAAGATTGCATTTATTTAAAAAAAAAAATTTCAAGGTGTAAAAATAAGTTGTTTTCATTTAAAATTAACATTAAAAAATAAGTTATTTTAGCAATATTTTAAAAATATATTCAATTAAATACACCATTGAAAAACTTCAGAAAAACTACATCTGGATTATTATTAAATAACTTCAGAAAAACTGTTTTGAATTACAAGAGCTATATTAAAAACTACAAGAAAAATAAAAAAGTGTTTCTTGAATTTGCAAATCAAAAAATGTTTTAATAAAAAAAATTTCAATTGTAACTAGACAACTTTTCAGCAGTGAAAACATACAGCTTTACATCAGTAAAAAAAAAAATTGAAGCTTCGTTAGACACATTATAAAAGTCAACTTTGTGTTGTCTTTAATTTGAATTTAATTAGAATAATACTGGGTTGATTAACCATAGTATAAAATCATTTCATTTTAAATGAATAACTTTTAAACATATTGTAATAAAACAATATTTGAGAAATATCATACTTTTAAATAATTATTGATGCTTAATTTTTTTAGGTTTATTTTCAAAAAATTTTTAAATAAACTTAATTTTTTCAATTAAATAAAGTAATAGGTCTTTTTGCAGTTCAATAATTTCATGTGCGCATATCTTATTAGTCTGTCTGGTTCCTTATGCACAAAATCACATGAAAAAAAGTAAATACACAGATAAATTAAAAAAGCACTCTTGAAAGAAAAAGTTATTTAGGCAAGACTTCTTTTTCTTTTTTCATAATAAATGTATTGATTTAGCTTTATATAAGTTTATTTAAACTATTTTAAATCTAAAATTTTTAATGTTTGTGTAATAGAATATTTGTGATTATGGAAGAAATAAATTTAAATCAATTTCATAGCTGAAGTGTAAAAGCTCTTGAAAAGTGAATAAGAATGCACAATAATAATTATATATACAAAAGTCGATGTAGCAACACTTCTCACATATTTTACCAATTTGTCAGTTGTAGCAAACAAATGGTAAATTTAGAATACACAAACTATATATATATATATAATATATATATATATATATATATATATATATATATATATATATATATATATATATATATATATATATATATATTAGTTTTATACACACACACACAAACACACTTGTATATATACTTTTCTAGGAAAGCCGTGCAGTCGAATGCCTTGTACGCCCATGCCTAAAGTAAATTTTTTAGACACACTGACCACGGCAGTTCACACTTTTTAACTTATAAAAGTGTTTCAATAATTCGCGGCAAAAAGCTAAACTTATTTCTTATTTACTTTGAAAAAAAAAAAAAAAATTAAATAAGGAAAAAAAATTGTAACAAAATATCAAGTTTAATTAAATAAACTAGAAAATTTATTAATTAAAAAAAAGGAAATTAAAAAAATAAAAAAAGATAAAAAAATATTTACACAACTTTTGTATTTTCATTGTTGTTGAAAAAAAAAAATCTTTTATAACTATTTAATGACAATTGAAAGATTTGATATGCAATTTATTAAAGATTTTTTATCAGTCCATATAAAAAAGAAACTAATTTGCTATGTACACTAGAACTATAAGAAATTCTGTTCTTTTTTTTAATTACTTTTATTTGTTTATCTTGTTTTTACGCTGTTTCGCTTTTAAAAATGTTTTTGCTATATTTGACGTTTTTTCCAATACTTATATAATAAGAAAATAAGAAAATAGATTGTTACTAAAAAATGTTATTTGATTAATAAATTTTGTTAACAACAATATGTATATGTTAAATAAAAGAATAACATAGTTTCTTTAATAAATGTATTTACCGCATTTGATGCATGTATGAAGTTGTTTCTATTATATTGCCCAATTTCAAATGTAATATGAGTACTAGAGATAATGAACATAATGATTGCTCTGTTTAAAAAAATGTATTTAAAAACTTAAACAAAAGTTTTAAACAGGCTCCTAAAAAGTTTGTTAAGAAAGTTCAGTAAATTAACAATGCACTAGCCCACAAAATTTAGCAGCATCATTACATTTTTTTACATAAAAAACTTGTTAAAAAAAAATTTTCACAAATAAATAGCAATTAGTTTTCTCGCTTTTCTGTACATTGATAAAAACAGTAAAGTCTAGCAAAGACATTTGAAAAACAAATTTAAAAGTGGTCTGTGTTTCTAGCGCAATTTATAAAGTATTTCCTTAATATACTGACTGAAAATTTGCGAAAAAATTGTATATCAAAAAAAACTTTTTTTTGATATATTTTTATTTACTTTTTTCCTTGACTTAATCATATATATATATATATATATATATATATATATATATATATATATATATATATATATATATATATATATATATATATATATATATATATATATATATATATATATATATACAGGCCTTGTGATAAAGCGTCAGGCGATGTGAATTTTATGTCGTCCAAGAGCGATTTTGCGTGTAGCTAGAGCTATTTGCGTCGAGCAAAAAATTTTTTGTTTGAGTATATTTTTGAGCGGAATTTTAACGAAGTAATTTACGATTATTTTAACATTTAATAAAGTATTTTAAAAACCGCACGCAGTTTTGAATTACAAAAAAATTAAATATGCTCATTATTTACAAGTACAAAAAACTCAGATTAAAAAAAAGTTTTAATCTTTTTAAGCTAACATTTTAATAAAATTATTCAGCAATAGCAAAGTTGTCGATAAAATTGAACAAAAATACTCTCTTTTAGTTTTAGATTTTTAACTTAAATAATTATTTTACAGGGGTTTGTTAGGTTTTAAAATTATTCCATAGATTTAAAAATATTTATTAACTGTTAAACATATTTAAAGTATTTAAGAGTTATTTCGAGGAAACATTTTAAAAATTGGTATGTGCAAATATGAAAAAATAAAAAAATTAATATTAAAACGTATTCTACTTGACTCAATAAAAAAGTACAATTATTAAAATTTTTGTAATAAGTAACTCAAAATAAATTACTTAAATTATAACAATCGCTTTTTTGTTAAAAGTTACCGAAACTCAACAAAGCATGCTCAAGAACAGCTGCTAAAAAATAGAACGCCAATAGATTTTCGAATAATTTTTAAGAATAATTTTTTTGCTGAAATATGTCTTTTATACCAATAAGATTTTTATTCTAACATTTTACTTTATTTCATTTTACCAAAAATAAAATTCCTTGTAAACATTAAAAATCTATTCAAAACGTTCGTTAAAGTTTTTTTAGTAATACGAGTGATCGTGCTTATTAACCGCTTTATGAAAATAAATAAAGATAAATAAATAAATATTATATAAAATCGCTAGTGAAAATATTAGCTATTGCACAGTTTTTATTCGTACAATATTAAAATTTCCAGTTTATTACTCGTTGACTTTTTAAAAAGAAAAAATAATTATTTGAAAAACTTTAAAATACATATTTGAGAAAAAAAAAAATCAAGTATTAGCGTATTTTATAATCTTTCTTAAATGTTTAGTTATAATGTTTTTTATTTGTTTAGTATAGACAAAACGTGTCAAACGTCAAGAAAATAAACAAATGTTTTTACATTTTAAAAAATGAAACATTTTAAAACATTTTTAAATAATAAAGTAGTTTTGCGGCAATTAAGTAAATTGGTGCAGTTAATGTCGATAAATATGAAAAGCAAATAAAAAGAATTTAATGACGTCAAAAATCACGTCGTGCTTATGCGTCGCGCAGTTTTTATTCATCACAAAGCCTATATATATATATATATATATATATATATATATATATATATATATATATATATATATATTGGCTTGGCCAGGAAGACGTGCGATTTCATGTCATAATATGACCACACGAATACTTGATTTTACTTAACTTGACCACAGCTGTTAAAATGTTTTGAAAATTTGTATAGGTTTTAAAAAAGGGCTAAAAAAATTAAATAAAATCTTAACTAGACTATAAAGAAACTTAAAAAAACCTGATTGTTTAAGAAGCAAATAAATCTTCGTAAAAAAAAATAACAAAAAACAAAATTAAAATAACTTAACTAAAACTAAAACAGCAAAAATAAAGTTAAAACTTTACTTAAATAAATAATAAACTATAACGATAAGATTATCTAAATTACGCTTGAAATAAGTTTAATTATAAAAATAAACTTTGAATCATTTATTTTTACTAATGTTTTTATAATATAATATTATGCGAAACCCTTTTTAAATAAAGTAACAACATACAACTGAGGATTGTTTATATAAATATATAAATTATATATTATTCATTAATGTTTTTATGAAAAATCATTAAAAGTGATTTGTTACATAATTTAAATACGCTACTTTATTTAAATACATTATAAAAACGTAAGTAAAGAATTTGAAATTAAGTTATTTGAAGTTATTTAAAGTTATATAAAGAATTTGAATTAAAGTAATTCAAACGGGTTCAAAAAAGTTTGTCTTTTTTCTTCTCAACAAAAACTTTAATGATTCTTATATAAAGTTCGTTAAAGTAACCTTTGTT